ATAAAAACTATTGAAGGAGCAAACTAAAGCAAATATCCCGGAAAGGAAAGGATAATTCATTAAATTTGTGTCCAAAGCTGTAATGGTCTGCAAATATGTTGGTAAGGGGATTCAATAAAGGTAAGGCATTTTTAAAAATAAATTTAGGTTATAGAGAATCGCCCGAATGTTGTTCTCATTTGCTTTCTAGTCGTGATATGGAGGCTGCTTCTGAAGGGTAACACGAAATCTTAAAGTGCCATATATCACATGCCTTCTTGTTTTCTTCCGGAGGGAAATTCGATGAACTCTCCTTTTCACACAGTCGTGAAATCTTTCACTTTTTTCATTTGAATCTTTGATATTTAATCTCTCTTTCTGGTTAAGATTTTGGCGGGAGATTTTGCTTGGAGAGGGAGCATGAAGCGCATCACGAACATGGTGGATCGTGATGGAGAGTAGATAGCGAGTACGAGTGCTTCTAATAAGCACTCTGGGGAATATCCAACTAGTCTCATATCCCTAGACACTTCTTCGTCATGCCAATAACTCTTTATCAAAACTGTATCGTCTTCAAACGCTAAAACGCTACAAAAGAGAGTAATATTTTTGCTCGATATTCTGTCGAATATTGTACAATGAAAATAACAAACTAGTCTACATCCCATATTATGTCGATGAGCTTAATCTACCCCTATACTTTTAGGAACACGGGGTAAATTAATGTAGAATGATTATAGAGTATATCAAATATAAATGTCCATCTAGTTTGTGAACAGATAATGTTATATATTTTGTATTCATTAATGAATAAGGATTTCTACTCACATCTACTAAAATAAGAAAATATTTGGTATTTTCATTACTGATAAAGATCAAAGTAATCATAGTGAACAGAGGCGAGCCTTCATAATTATACGAATCTATACGTGTTACGCCTATGTTATTCATCCTCATGACCGTAAGCAAAACGCCATTTAATATGCTATTTTTATCCCAGGCACAAATTTTGCTCATCAACTGAAGCAGCTAATATTTTGCCGTATGTAATATATAAAAAAAGACTTCAGGCCAACTGAGACTATAGTATATCTCAGCACGCATTATTGCGCTTCGGATAAACATAACATACAGCATTGCAGACAAAAAAATGTTTCATTCACGCTGAAATTGTAAATGCTATGATAACATCAAAAGATGAGAAAGGAGGACTTTAAACAGAGTGGGAGAAAGAGAGAAAGAGGCAGACAGGAGGAAAGAGAACGGAAAAGAAGGTAAATCTACTTGAACGAGAAAGAGAGGAAGATTATAATTATATTAAACGATAGAGGTAGCAAGAAAGAAAGAAAGAAAAAGAAGGAAAGGAAACATCTTCGTTTGAAGAAAAAAAGTTAAACAGAATCTGAGGAATTCCTGTTTTATAACACGGAAAAATTCTGTTTGGGCAAGTGCTCATGTTATCATGCATGAATGTACATGTATGTCACTCAAGACTAGCAAAATATATTTCGAAATCGTAATTATTATTTCCAACATGACGGACGAGGACAAGAGCAATAATAAACAAAACTTTAGTGCCTCTTCTCATCATTTAACCTGAGGATAGTTGCTAATAAAAACAGTTCTAATAAAAACACTAGACGATGGAACTGTGGCCGTAGCTTGGAGAGATGATAATGAGTTCAATAAACGTCTACACATCATATTGCATTGTATTCACCGTAAACATGCATTGCATCACTCCATATTATCATTTCGTTCATAAGAACTGTACTAACTATCCAAATTTCGAGAAGTACTGGTAACCGCTGCAGGTGGGGGTGGGGGGGGGGTTGTTTAAGTAAGTTATCCTATTCCAGCTAGTGCTGCTTTATAGTCGCCTCTGACTCTATCACTTGAAGTAAAGCTTAGGTTAGAGAATATCTCGTGTTACACGAATCGAAAGATGCCTTAACACATTCAAACTGGTCGCATCGTTATTCAATAAGGGAACATTATCCAAACTATGCATGTCATCCATCCTAGGGTTCACGATGAAATGACTTCATCACCATGGGAACGGAATTGTAGAGATGATGTGAACGTGTAAGAACTAAGTGACATTCATACATTCTCTATTGACTAGGGCATTTTTTTTAAATACTTTTCACAAAGCTTTTTTTTTTGTAAAAAAAAAAGATAGATGTGGTGCGTACTTTGATAGTATGTTCACATTAAGGAAGTCACCATTATGTGAATATCTATCTTTAAATCAAAACTGAAAGCACGTCTTTTCAATTAACTGTAAATATAAGCATATCAGGAGCTCTTGCAGTGCAGTAGAATATATACTTAATGTCGAATAGTTTCTGCGCTCTGTAAATAATTTAAAAAAAAACAATAATACTCAGTTTTTATATAGCACTTATCAGAATCACTAAGCGCTTCCAAACTTGGAGATTATTACCCCGGCTTTAGCTGTGCATTATTATTAGTATTAATATTGTTTATGCTAGAAAGAGTCTAAATTATTTTCCTACTATGAAGTTATAGATATACTTGGAAGCATATGGATTGTAAGTGTAGAGGGTGAAATTCCTTCTTTAAAATAGTGAGTTTCAGTAGGTAAGAGATATTACACACTCACTGACTTACACAAGAAAGATAAATTCAGCCCCATTGCCAAATTGTTGGGAAGGAAAACAAATCAAAATTGTATCTACATTTCTCCTTTCCAACCAGGTGCTGAACGTGTACCTGGTAGGATGCGAACGCATTAGCATGTGCGCGCCCATAATAGGGCGACTGGCTGGAATGTTCCCAAAGGGAGTGGAGAGAGTGCACTGTAAAGTGCAGAATCGTAACAGAATCCTGTGACCGGGGGCAATAACACAGTGTGCGCTTTGGTCGGCTACGTTGCAATTAGTTAAGAGCTTTATAAAACAAAACAGTAATAATATAAAATGTAGGTTACATCTACAATCGGTACCTAAGATTGTTCAGTTTGGAAATAATGGTACTGGTTCCGTACACATGCGATCGAGGAATGCACTGCAATAACATCAAGAACAAGTCAAAAAATCATGTCTGAAATGTCCACTAAATGGCCAAAGTACAAGTTTGATTAAGCATCCAAATACGAGGTGTGTTTGAGGACAAACAAATCGTTTATCCAATTGACTGGTAAAATAATAAATACGGTTGGAAAAGCGTTGTAGGTATCTCGCTTTAAAAAAACAAGTGTTGATGAATCTGTTTGATATTATATCCATATCCCTATATTAAAACCATCTGGTTCATAGACAGATAAACATGATAAGTGAAGTGAATTTTAATTATGCGTATTTTTAGAACTACCTTAGGTGCCTTTCTTATAACAGCTCAATGTTGTTTTTATACAAATAGATGCCAAATAAAATAATTGGGGGGTAAGCTATTTTTAAAAGCATGGACGAAAATGAATGTAAACACTGGAAAATGTATGTTGCCTTTAGCAAACGCTTGTCCCTGATTTCATGCATTAGAACTCTCTGATTAGAAAGTCATATTTTATTAAATTCTAATTGCCAGAGTTATTCAAAGCTTTCCGGCATGTTTGATATGAATATAGTAACACCAAACACAACTGAATTATGCATGAAATAGCAAAACAGGGATGAGGTGTTTTTTTTCCCACCTGTCTCTTGGTTAAGACGTAACTGAATGCAGCGCTTTAAACATAATAAATGAATCAAGATCGAGGTCATTTTGCTAATAAAGAGATGTAGATCCACAATATGCAACAAGATTTTACCTGGCTATTAGAAAAGTATTATTAGCTAGAGAGTGAATATCACGAGAAGAACACCCTCAGCTACAGAAGATAACTTGTATAGCGTTACTACAAGTAGGTCAAGGGAGAATGAATGACCTAACTGTAATTTGATTTGTGCACACGAAGTCACCATCTGATGCATTAATTCGAATGTCTACTGGCGTCTGCATGGTTTCCCAATGGACATGTGACTAAAAACAGACGAACATCCTCCCTCCTCTCCCCTTTTAAAATATTGTTACTTTTCAATTTTAATGGAAGTCATAATTTTATGCAGTTTTATACACATCTATAGTTCGAATAAGCATGAACAAAAATGCAACTGATTTAAAAACTGATACGATAATGCAATATTATTTATTTATTTATTTATTACGGTGATCGGTAATATGACTGATTTGCAATATTGATTCGCGTTACGTTCATCATATTTCAAATCAAATGTCTAACGTTACAAAAATTTGGGTAAATCTTTCTTAAAATAGTATTCCCGCCATGATCATGAAACTAGGATATGTTCTACGAGCAGGTTATCATTTGATTGGTTTCTGATTTATTCATATTTAATAATAGGGTAATGATATATTCATCTATTTACATTAAAATATAGCATGGTTTAACTCCATTTCCAAACATTTGTTTGTCCATTTGTCTCCATTCAATTGCATTGCAGGAAACCAGTCACATTTCCATTGGCTGGCAGAATATTTGCTAATGTATTGAGGATTGAGAGTGGTAAGCTTAAGTGATGGGCACTGTAGTTTTTGGAAACGCTCTCAATCTCCATTCGCTTTCATGCTCGGTGGGGCCGCAAAAGGTTTTAGCATATACCGTCATGTTCGAATTGCATCTTTTATGGCTCGTGCACTGCTGAACATTGTGTTAAGTCTCTACTCCATTAGTCTGTTTGTATGTTATTCTATAGGGGGTCGATAATCCGTACTTAAGACAAAATAATGGGCATCATGCAGTCAGTGTCATACAATTGAATTAAGATGGCGACCGAGAACTTAATTTCCAAAAGGCTTTATTCCTCTGAAACTTAAAATATGTATGGTATTGTTGTCATTCTGTAAAGAGTCAATCTTTAATAGGTCCCAAAAAGATTGAATGAATAGAGAGGAGAACATTTTAAAATGAAATTTTATTTAATGATAAGGAACTTTTTGTGACGTCCCACTAAGTAGCTCCGATATGCTTATTGAATACAAAGATGGCGTCAACTCACCTGTGATGCTAAGGCTGGCATATAAAAACCACACTGCAGACATACTGGTCTCTCGCAGTCTGTACACTCCAACCCTTCCTGAGCAGATCCGGGTATAGCACATTCATCAAGTTCAGTCCTGTTACAGACTGGACATAGATTATTGGGTAGACCTTCCCCGACACTGGATGCGTCCGATGCTCGACGCTTGATGTCTTTGGTGTACTTGGTAAAGTCGTCTTCAAGATTCCTGTCATGGAGGACAATAAATCGAATAGACAGGAGGAAATTGAAATGAGTGTAATCGTTGTCATACCACAAATGAAAAATAGAGGTCAATCCAAGAGCGCCCCTTGTTCTCAACGTGCAAGATTTGTTGACAGCTTTAATTCACGTGACATTATAATCTATGTAAGATGTGGAACAATGATGTTATTGTGTGATTTGCATTAACAAAATAGAATATCGCAAATGAAAAGAGAGGTAAAATCCAAAAGCAGCTCGTGTTCAACGTGCACGATTTGTTGGCCGCTGTAATTCCCGTGGAATTATAATCTATGTAAGATGTGGAACAATCGTGTTACTGTGTGACTTGCTTTAACACATTAGAATATCGCAAATGAAAATACAGGTAAAATCCATGAGCAGCCCGTGTGAAACGTGCAAGATTTGTTTACAGCTCTAATAATCGTGTCATTTTAATCTATGTGAGATGTGGAACAATCGTATTACTGTGTGGCTTGCATTAACAGAATGAAATATCACAAATGAAAATAGAGGCAAAATCCAAAAGCAGCCCGTGTTCAACGTGCAAGATTTGTTTACAGCTCTAAATTACGTGGCATTCCAATCTATGTAAGATGTGGAACAATCGTGTTGCTGTGGAACTTGCATCAACAAAATTTTATATTACAAATGAAAATAGAGGTAAAATCCAAGAGCAGCCCGTGTTCAGCGTGCAAGATCAGTTGACAACTCTAATAATCGTGTTATTCTAATCTATGTGAGATGTGGAACAATCTTGTTGCTGTGGAACTTGCATGAACAGAATGTGATGAGCAATTTTGTTCGCGTGAGTCGAGGGTTTTGTTAATGTGGTTTTTGGAGTGAAACAATTACAAAATGTCTCCTTACAATATTAATGATAATTCTGATTAGTCTCTGATTACCAAGATTAATTTGACCGCCTTTCCTCCTGCTGCTGACTCTGTCCATCGTCCTTGTACGTCACATTGACCCCATATATCTCTCAATCCCCACCCACCCCTCTTTCTCTCTCTCTCTCTATCTCTATCTCGCTCAACACACACACGCTCGCACACACACACACACGCATATTAAATATATCTTTCTCTTCAATAATCATTCACCCTCTCTCTGTATATCAACCTCACTACATTTCTGCTTTAAATTTTTTTTTATCTTTCTAGTTTGATGTGTCTATTCATCTACATGCATTCAGTACAATTTATCTGACTCTATTTCAGTCACACATCCATTGATAAGACTCTTACCATCTTTAATCCCAAGTTACTTCGGAGTCCATCGCATAGATAATGGAACAGAATAAATGAATATTCCCACGGTTGATCAATAAGCGTGTGTGATTATCAACAAACACTGGTCGTTCTAAATTCTTGATAGAGATGTAAGACTTGCGTGGTAAGCCCATTTCTATGCATTTGAAAAGAATCCACTTCGCACATGGCAGCTCTCTTACCTTTTAATGCTGGAGGCCCACTCGCAAACACAATTTTAATTACGCCATAACACCGTGAAGAGAGGATCAACAACTGCATCAATAATCCAAGTGCGTGGTTGGATTTAGTGAAAAGGATGCAGCAGTGCGATGCAAGTCAGATGTAAAGATTAATATAATAACAAAGCGACGAACGTAGATAATTATGAAGAACCATGACATACACTATGACCATTGCATGTTGTGTTGTCTCTCTTTCCTCTGCCTGATTAGTGTATGAACGATGGTACGCAGTTAGCATCCAACTTGAGATGAGCAACCTATTGCTCCGAAGAGGTATGAGGTGATACCCATCTCCTAAGCAGTTTAGGTTACTTAATGTGCATGTTGAGGAATGTACGATGTAAGCTATACGTGGGGCTAGTGGGTGACAATAACTTAGGGATAGGCTGACGGGGGTAATTGAGTCAACGTAATGACATATTGGAGAAGGACATCGTTACATGCGTCTAGAATACATAATGTCAACTTGAATAATGCAACAGGATGCCCGTGGGTATGGCAAAGATCAAGGCTAGTCTTCCATCTTCAGGAACAGTTTTGACACTAACCCATGAATCGTGCCGCCGTCACGCCTCCTGAAAAGCCAAAGTTTGCACCTCAATACGTCAGGCCCCCGTGTGATCTCGTGAATACTGCAAATCCTTTTAATGACCAATTTGCTATCACTTGTTTACACGATACGCAAAAATAGCTTTAGGACTTTCAAAGTGTAAGCTGCTTTCTTGTGATGAAATGAGTTAAGTTATCTACTTGCCAGGTATCTGAGGAAACAGATTCGACAGATCTCTAAGATATATTATGATCAAAATGCATAAATGCATTGTAGTATGTTGAAGCTAATACATTTTTTAATTCTTTTCTGGCAACTTAACTGTGCAGAAAAAACATTTATATTAGAGAAAAGTAGAACAAATTTGTCATTCCAAAACAAATGTCTTGTGACTTCAACAATGATTATACACCAGTTGCAATGCTGAAGAGCTTATAGACCATTTTCAAACTTGACTGTGTTTACATTTATTGTGTTTCACTCGATTTTCAAAGGGATGCAGGTAACAGCATTAATTTTGCTGTAACCATCTACAGCCATGTTTTCCTGATTACCTAACTCTCCATGACATTCCTTGAATGTTACCCGTAAGAACACACCAGTCAACTTAACAATCGATCCTCATGTGACATAAATCATAGGACAATAATTAAAACCTCCATTAGGGTCTCGTCACAAAGCTATATTTAGCTGTTGTAAATAAAGACCTTGGGCTTCGTTAGAGAGGCTATATCGGAAACAACGGTGCGACTCTATCTACTAATGATATACAGGAAGTGAGATTGAGTACCATTGAAGCACCTGCTACACGACGCTAGGACTAGCAAGCAGAGGTCGGGGTGTTGAGGGTATACCCAGTGATGTTAAAAAATGGATAGGAGAGATAGAATCATGTCAACTACACCTGCGGGTCTGTTCCACTCCTTAAACGTAATATTTCAGTTCGATGATTTGATTTGATTCAGCAGATGATGCCATGACTGCTGATAAGGATTTACACCTCGAATGGAAGTCCTAATAGCAGATTGGTGTGATTCAATAACAAATGCTACATTTACTTAAATTGTGACATTCTCATATATTTGTAGTCACATTTTGATTGAGACAAATCCTGTGACGTTTCATCAAATACGATTATTGCTTATGGTGTTGATAATCAGATTTTGTTCATTAATGTAAGATGACAAAACTGCAGTAGCATTCTACTCCCTATGCACTCTGTCTTGCGTCGTAAAATTATATCAAGAAATAAAAGAGATTTTGCACCTATCCTGGAATGTATAGGATAGCAGAATATTTTGACCCAATTCATGACAGGAACTCTTTTAAGAAATCCATTCTAATGCGAAATTCAAATAAGAATAATCTAATCATACATTTCACCTATTCAAACATTTCTTGACGGTTATGAATTTACAGCGAAAGCAAATAGAAACGCATTCAATATATTTATCTGGAACAAACTTAAAAGACTTGAGGAAGTGGAACTTATTAGCTCTTGGGAAAGGCTCTATTAAAGGGAGTTTACAGATACAATCTGCGCATGGGCAGATAAAGGTCATTTGTACGAAAAAGGTAAAACCCACCAGAGATGAATACTGGATATGCGCTCATGAAAGTTACGTAACATTATTCATTTATGCACCAACGGTACATTCCAAGATACGCAGGTGGAAGTATTCTTTTCAAGAGGGCAAACAAAAGGTATTCATGAAGCACATCTAGGACTTTGGCAGTTATTATTCTAAGATGCCCAAAGTGGAACTTCTCCATGTGTAAAAGATCTGTGGATATTTGGGGTCATTTGTACCATGTGCTTTCTGTAAACTCCCTTATTAATGACTTAATTGACCAGTGGTGTGTAATGTCTCATTGAGTGCCTTATGTTTAAGCATCACCTGAGAGGCGAGGACATAATGTTTAACGACTATTCTGGATTGTTTCATTCTAATTTGCTTTTTGAAATATCATGTCGTAAGCTTTCTAATTTATCGTTCCATTTTCCCGTAGTACCATGAATTACATGTCAACAATATTCCAAAATCGAATCTTTACAGATGCGACAAATTGAGACATTCTATTCCAGATTCCTCAGAGAACTATATACACCTGTAGTTGCAATTGTTTATTATTAAGTGTCGTGAAAATCAGTGTGCCTTTAAAGTGACCACGAACTGTAAATATGAACCATTAGAGTGAAGATAAAGCCACTGCGCCTTATCACCCACGCGGCACCTATCCCCGTCGGGCAGATATAACCTCATTTCACTGTCCCCTCTTCTTGCTGGCCTGCCTGCCTGGTGATTTTTTTTATTCGATTCACGTGTAAAATTAAGCTTCACACTATGATGTCTCCAACAGGAATCCAATGTGACCATCAAAATGAGCAAATGAGATTTATCTAGAGGGTCTGGTTCCGCCCTGGCAGCTCCTAGCCGCCATTTTCATCCCATTCCGCCTCCTCTTCTCCTCTGATATATCCTGCAGGCAATATTTCATTATTGTGCTGGGATACCTTGCGTTTGAACTCCTGCTGCTGCTGTTTTGTGATGCTGGTGGATTTTTAATAGGATGCAAGCAGTCATGCGCAGCCTATAATTTACTGCATCTATCACGGTGACGGGGGCTTGTCCACTATAATATACCTGCGCTTAGTCACGCTTTGTGTGTCTTTTCATGCGAAATTGTCACGATAGAATTTTATGAGAGGAAAGGTGTTCAAAGTGAAGGATTAGGCCTACGCTATATTACCTCTAGCTTCTATGTTTTATGCATATATATATCATTTGACATTAGGATTTAAGAGTCATTAATGGACTTAGAATGCATTACCCTACTTCAAGTTAAACCGCTTCCTTTCTTAGAGAGGGCCCATTTAACCTATACCGTTTGTGGGCGGGATAAATTAAGGGCATCAGTCTTTGTGAATTTACATACG